ATGAGAGCATCCCAAAACTCGTTGGATCAGTTCCTGGTCCTTTTGGAATAAGTCATTTAGCATTCTTGTGCCTGATTGACCCTAACATCATTAAAAGATTGGTAATGAATTTCAGTGCTATATAAATCACATGGAAAACTATTACCCTTAATACAAGCGTTATGAGGCTTCAGTAATTAATGTCATCTAAACTGCTTTCCAAAACATGACCTTTTAAATCTGATTGCTGTGGCCAGACCCATCCCTCACCCTGCAAGCAGCCTGCTTTCCAGCCAGCCTGGATGGCTCCGATGGGGCTGTGTTGGGGAACTTGGACGGGTCCCAGCCCCGGAGACCGGACACGAAAGGGGGTGTATTGCTGGTACCTCCGCTCCTTTTGCAGAGGGTTAACAGAAAACGCCAATAGTGAGAGCAAACTTACTGCCAGCATCTCTTCTAGCTTTTTTCATTGAAGGGCACTGCCCGCTCACACGGTGAAGCGGTGGGACGTGAGCACTTCATGCCCTTTCAAACCTCCTCCCCTCCCATGTGGGGGACACACGAGCCGTGCAGGGGCAGCGGTGCCTGCTTGCCCGGGCCACCGCGGGGGCTAAAGGATGCAACTGGCCGAGCTGCCGGAGCAAAACTCCTGAACTGGCACATCCTCAGCTTTTATTAGCTCAATTTAGACCCACATGATTACAGAGGGTGTTTTATTTTAAATGAAGTATATAGCTTCCGTTCACACGTGCACCTTTGTTATTCCGTGAGTCAGAGCCTCCCAGGGAGGCTGGCTGCGAAAGGCTCTGCGCTCTTTTTTTAAGCTTTCACACAGCATGTGGGTGCAGAGATAAAAATAATGTTGCACCTCTCTTTGCGCTTCCTCCCGAGCAGCAGCTCCAGGCAGAGGGATGTGCAGGAGAAACAGCAAACAGAGCTGTAGCTCCAACAGCCCACAGGAGTTAATTCCTCTAATTTAGTCATGGCGCAAGCGGGATGTGAAAACCCTCCCTGGAGAGGGGAGAGCGGCTGGTGTTCTTTGGTGCCATGAGTTTTCCCTCTTTTCCTACTTTCAGTGTTTGACAGCTAAAAAGATAATAATGTTGCTGCTGGGACAAGGAGCAAACGTTGTACAAGTCTGTGCTGACTCCTGTCACGTAACAGGACCTGGCTGGAGCAGCCCATCCCAAGGTCGTATCCCGCATGCACGGGAGCCATGGGTGCCGCAGATGTGGATCCCAAACCCAGGCTGCTGATGCCAGTTCTGCTACCCACTGCCAAATCTGTCCCGCAAACACCCTCTCATGGAAAGAGAAAATCTCAAAAGTCTCTCTAGCAAGTGGCTCCCAACCTTTGGAAGCTGCACAGGGGCGGCAGTGAGTTACCCCGGGGTTGTGCCGGGGCTGCTGCGCATCTCTGCCATGCTCCGGCGTCTCCCCAAGCCTCCCCCCGGCCGTGCTGCCCACGAAACGACAAAAAATAGCAAGCGCCCAGGCAGCTGGCATGCAGCATCCGTCACCTCCCACACAAGTCACAGCAGCTTCAGCATCGCGTCGCCGGTTTGTTGCATCTACCTGCTCTCTCTCCTCTTTCCTTGGGCAAACGCTGCAATTTCTGGCTCGTGCAGACTTTCCCTTCCTGTGCCCAAAACATTTCTTACAGCCTGGTATACAATTAAAGTTGGTCAATAGCTGCTGTCCGACACTGGACCAGAGCCACGCGTGGACTCGAGGGGCAGCTCGTCCCAGCCTGTTTGCTGGGCAGATTTGCTGTCTGAATAATTCAGCGTAGAGAAAATTAAAGGGAGCGGGAGGGGAGGCAATCCTGAGGCTATCAGTTCGTGGCCCAGGTTGACAGGACCAGGCCTTTTATAGTATAATGTCCTGAGTGCCTTCAAGGTGACTTCTGCTGGAAGGGAAAAGACGAGGGAAAAGGTTCCCTGCAGATCTCACCGGCAGGAATTAAACACTTGTAGCTAAAAGGAGATGGGACCTCAGCACCTTGCTGCACCGCTGACAGGCCAGGGAGAGCTGCTGTAAAGAATTGCTTCTGGTCTGGGCCATTAATGAAGCTTAAACCGCACCTCACTAATAAGATTTGACCTTGGGTGCACCCTAAAAGCTGGCAGCTCAGGTGTCCGTGGAGCTTCATGCTTTCAGACTGGTGTTGAACGTGGTATGAAAGGCTGCTCCACCAGCATGAGAGTTGGCAGAGCTGCTCCGGCTGGGTCAAGCTCCAGCCCTGCAAAGATTGGCACAGCTGAATAACGTCCTGTGATGTGCAAAATCCCACCCGGCTTCACTTGCCCCACATATGGCTGCGGCGGAAGATCCTCCCTCTCAGTGAGGAGAGAGCTCA